ATGTCTAAAAAAGCAATGTACACACCGTAATTAAAAAATATGTTATTGCTTAAATATGCCAACCATCATCAGACCCTTTAGCAACTCATAACCTTATTGCTGGTGGAGGTCTTGCCTCTTGACAATGAAAATGCAATATCTGCAAAATGCAATAAAGTGGAACAATAAAATGAGATGTACCTATAGTGGAAGGTCCCTGTTCTTAGAGCAGAAGACCAAACCAAATGCAGTTTGGGGAAATCATTGAATTTCAAGTTTTTCCTTTCCATTGACTGGCAAATAGACTCAATACCTATTTCTGAGGGTTGGTGAGAGAATTGATTGAAATCACAGTGAAAAGTGTTGACACATAGTAGGGTCTCAAAAATATTTGTTGAATGCCAATCTGACTTATGAAGACTAGAAAATATACTTATTCTCAATTTATGTTTACATAACCTTGGTTTATACACATAAATCACATATAAGTAGGACTTGAATACCTTCCAAGCCAATGAAACAACTGAAAGAAGGTTGCTCGGAAATAATTTCTATGTTGTAATTGGACATTTCATGGTCACTATTTCCTAGAAACACTCAGCTCTTCAGTGTTGACTTTATTCCCACAAGTTCTGGTTTTAAGAATAAATAAATGGCATGCCAACTATTTACAAATCACTAAAATCATGTTTAAAAATAAGATCTAGTCCATAAATCTAAAACAAAAGACTCATGGCTCAGGCTTCCTGTGGAAGGTTGAATAATGCCCTCCCCTCGAAGATGTCCGTGTCCTAATCTCTGGAACCTGTGAATGTCACCTTACACGGCACAAGGGACCTTGCAAATGTGGTCAAATTAAGGGTTCTGAGATGGGAAAATCATCCTGGATTAGCTGGGTGGGCCTGGTATAATCAGAAGGGTTCTTCTCCAAGGGAGAAAGGTGACTGCGAGTCAGAGAAAAGGCCATTTGATGAAGGAAGGAGATTGGAGTGATGCGGTTACAAGCCAAAAGACTGTTGGAAACCTTTAAAAGCTATAAGAGACAAGGAACCCATTCTTCGCTGGAGTGCCCAGAAGAAATGAGCCCTGCCAATACCTAAATTTTAGCTTCATAAGACTCAGTTTGGAATTCTGACCTCCAGAACTGCAAGCTAATAAATTCGTGTTATTTTGAGCCACTAAATTTCTGGTAAATTGTTACAATGGCACTTCCTTAATGGCTCTGACAAGAACCAATTCTCCATTCAGGGTGTGGTTTGCAGAAAGTAAACCATGAGTGCAAACCCTCTGCACAAACCCAGTCATTCCTTTACCTCTCACGTTATTTGTACTTGAATTCCATAGAGAAAAAACATATAGCACAAAGATATTTTAAGTAGGGACTTGCTCCAAACTTGAGTCTCACCGATAGCAAAATTAATGTTTACCTTATATGCCCAAGGCTAAAAGATGCCAGATTTAGGATCTAGAGTTCAGATCAATAAATGTTCTGTACTGACACTTTCCAATAGAAATGTAACAGCCACATATAGCATTTAAAATTTCCTAGGAGCCACATTTTTAAAAATATAAAAGGGGTGAAATAAATTTTAGTAAGATATTTTATCTATTATCTACATTATCATTTCAACAGGTACTGAAATAAATGATTAGCAAAGCAGAGAAATGTGGGACAAAACGGAATTATAGGAAAAGCAAGGAACAATGAGAGTGAATGGGATTGTGGAGAAAGTAGAGAACTATGAAAGGGAATGGGATTATAAGAATGGAGAATTATGGGTGATGGTGGGATTCAGCGAGAAGCAGGGAACTATGGGAAAGAATGGGATTATGGGAGAGAATGGAGATTTGTGGGAGTATAAAATTGTGAGAGAAAATGGGATTATGGGAAAATCAGGTAATTATGGGAAAGAATGGAGACTTATGGGAGAAGCAGGAAATTATGGGAGAATGGAATTATAGGAGTAGCACAATATTTGAGAGAATGGAATTATGGGAGAAGTACAAAACTGGTGTTATGGGAGAAACAGGGAACTATGGGAGAGAATGGGATTACGGGAAAAGTAGAAATCTATGTGAGGGAATGGGATTATTGGGGTAAATAGGGAATTAATTATGGTAGAGAATAAGATTATGAGAGCATGAAGAATTGTGGAGGAGCAGAGAACTATGGGTGAGAATGGGATTATGGGAGAAAATGGGATCATAAGAGCAGAGAACTATGGGAGAAAATGGAATTATGGGAGAATGGCATTATGGGAGAGAATGGAATTATGGGAGAAGTGGAGAATAACGGGACAGAATGATATTATGGGAGATGCAGAGAATTATAGGAGGGAATGAGATTATGGGAGAAGCAGAGATATGTGGGAGGAAATGGGATTGTGAGAGTGAATGGAGAATTGTGGGAGACGCAGGGAATTATGAGAATGAGATTATGGAATAAGCAGAGGACTAGGGAGAGAATGGAATTATGGAAGAGAATGGGATTGTGGGACAAGCAGGGAACTATTGGAGAAAATGGGGTTATGGGAGAGAATGGGATTTTCGTAGCAGCAGGGTACTATAGGAGAGAATGGAATTATGGGAAAAAATGGAGAACTGTAGTAGCAGCAGGGGAATATGGGAGAGCTAGGAATAGACAAAGCAGGTCTAGAGCACCTAAATTGCCCCAATGCCCAAGGAACATATATGTCTGGAGTTCAAGCCAAATATTGATGCTTAAGACCACAGAAGTGCATGCTGTTAATGATGTATTTATTTGATGAGTGTTGATTGTCTACTATGTGCTAAGCACCATTTAAGAGGCATATCATTTTCTTGGTCTCTAAAATTATGGTGAAGTTTTTCAATTAAAAAAACCCCTGGTAATTATATTAAAAATCTCTCTATAGCAGGGGCAATCTTTGCTATAAGTTGTGAAACCTCAGCAAATACTCAGTAGACATACTTTTCTGCAGCCAACGCCTAGCCTTTTCCATGAGCATGTCCCCATAACTGGGAGTCAGGAGTTGATTAAACACAGTTCCTGCCTGTTTCTTGAAGAGCTGACCACTCGAAATCTCCAAGCATGTTGAGGATATAATAAGCACGCTCGCTGGTGAACCTGATCCAGAGTAAAGAAACCACGTTTCACATCTTGAAAACTGTAGGATCCTGATATGGATGCTGCATTTTAACATTCTTGGGTTTACTTGGGAGCTTTTTGGCTTTTCATTTCATTTGGTGGCATTTTGAGAGTGATGCACCTGGAGGTCAGTTTGCTGGTTGCTAAAGAACTAGTAACCTCATCTCCAAAGATGCACTTGGTCTTTTTTTTTTTAATTTATTTTTGGAGAGAGGGGAAGGGAAGGAGAAAGAAAAGGAGGGAGAGAAACATCAATGTGTAGTTGCCTCTCACGTGCCTGCCCTCTGTGGACATAGCTGGCAACCCAGTCACGTGCCCTGACCAGGAATCAAACCGGCAACCCTTTGGTTTGCAGGTGGGCATTCAATCCACTGAGCTACACCAGCCAGAGTTCACCTGGTCTTTCTTAAGTGGGCTTTCTGGCAAGAAAAGAACTGCCCCCTTCCAGGACAATGCAATTATGAGCAAATGACATCTGCTCACATTTTTATCACAAAAAGGACATCGAAACTTGTGACCATACATCCTAAGAATGTGATTTGAGGTTTGTTCTCTTTGAACTCCCAAATCCCTTAATACTCTGGCGGCCTCTTAAGCCATGTTTCCCTCTAAGTCACACGCAGACAGGCTCACCTTAAAGCAGCCTATGTACTGAAGCAAACCTCTCAGCCTGCTGTCCCAGGAACTGTCCACCAAAAGATCTCAATAGCGACATGGTTGTCACTCAGCTAAAGGTGATTCTGCCTCCCACACCCAGGGAACCCGTGACAATATCCGGGGACTTTTTTGGTTGTCCCAACTTGGGGAGATTGCTAGGCATCTAGTGGGTAGAGGCACTACAGATGCTGCTGCTAATATACAGAAGAGCCTCGCACCCCCCCCCATAAGTGTCCATTGCAGTCACAGTGGAGAAGCCCCGCTCTAGTGGACACCTCAGAAAGCGAGATATCACAGCCAGGGAACCACAAACCCTTTTCCAGTGAGTGCTTCTCAAAAGGCTGCCCTAACAATCGGTGCAGAGGAGGGACCCTGGGCCAGTCTGCCTGGGTTTGAATGCTGGAGCCATCAGCTCCTGGTTGTGCCTTCTTGTGCATTTGCCCCTCTCTGTGTGCCTCGGGTTTTCTCCTCTACAACAGGAGGGTGATAATCATAGCACCTTCCACAGAGAGCAGTCATGGGGCTTTCAATGGGTGGATAGTCCAAAAGTGTTTTGTACAGTGCCAGGGAGCACTATGTAAGTGTGTAATGTCTTAAGTGGGTTTGCCGATCTCTGCAAAAACATTTCAGGGCTTAGAAAAGGTTATGGGGAGTAAAGACACATCCTCAGATTCTGAACTGCCACAACAAGAAGAGTGAGTCGATTCCGTCTGACAACGACGTTCTTCCTTTGCAGTTCATCAACCCAAAGCAGAGAGCTGCTGAGTACAGGAACCCCCTTCGCAGTGGCCTCAGCCCACAAAAGGTAAGCGCTTAGTCCTCGTCCTCCGCAGTTTCTTTCCCTCCTTCCCCAGCAAAACTAGTGCCTGACTGTCGGCGCGGTTAGGAGAGAGTGGAAAACACAAAACTGCACAGGCACAAAACCCACCCACTTCCCCACAGACTCTCACACAGCCGCCCCCACGGTAGATGTCTGCAGACCACTGAGCCAGACTGCACCCACCGGGCTGCGCACGGAGTCTTCCTCCTCCTAGAAGCGCCAGACATGGTCAGGTGGGGCGCCATGGATGCAAAGGGAGTTGGAGAGAAGCCCGTGGGCACTCCGGGGTTGGCATCCTTGTTAAATTCCGTCTCAGCACGCACACACCCGCGGGGAGGGCCGAGAGGGACTGTGACAAAGAGTAGGGGTCCCCGTGCGGAGCTTAGGCGCGCTGGGGGGCGACCGCTAGCCACTCACCTGGCCGCGTTCCCTGATCCACCTGCCACCCAGGGGAGCAGCAGCGGGAGCGCAAAGGTCCAGGGCAGCGGCATCTTCATCAGGGGGCCTCCCTCTGCCGCAGTTGCCCGCCACTCCTCCTCCTGCCCCCAGGGAGGGCTCAGGACAGAGCGCAGGGGGGACCTGCGGCTTCTCCTTTCCTCTGCTGCGCTGCTTGTGGCTACCACTCCTCCCCAGCCCGGTCCTGCGGGGGCAGGGAGGGAGGCTGCGGCAGGGGGCGCTCGCGGCCCCTGGAGAGGTGGGGGCGCCCTGGCCGGGCCGCCGCAGCTCCTCTGCGGGTGAAGCAGGGTCGGTGCGCGCGAGGGAGGGCGGGGCGGACCATGCACATCTGGCTGGGACCCGCCTCCTGCACTGCTGTTCACTCATCCTCCGTGTGGTGTTCACCAAGCAACTTACCCCACACTCAGTTCACGTCACTCCAGTCTATTTCAGACGTGGGCAGCTTTCAATGAGTGATACCTGCACTGGAGGGTTTAAGAATGTGGTTGAGAAGTCAAAGCAGGAACTGAGCATGCCAGTTCACAATGACACCTCTATCCTACTTCTGTTTAGACTTCGACACTCGGGTGGGTTTTCACCCACAAACTGCAACTCATGGGCTGCTGGAGCTGGAAAGTCACCTCCTGTGCAACCCCTTCCTTCGGCAAGTGACCTGCCATACTCATCTTTGACAGCTCACTCCCATGAAACCTGCAGACGACATAGGAGTATAGTAACCAGTGGAGAAACTAATGGCAGAAACACAATCTATGTGAGTTCAGAGAATTCACTTGGGGACTTGTTCTTTATTTTGATAACTTGTTATAGTAGAATGAGTGATTAGTCTCTCCTTCACCCCCTCCCTGCATCCACACTCTTTGTTTTCATGGGAGGCAGAGCCTATGGCTTCACACTTTGGCTTTGGACTTGACTGTGTGACAGGCTCTGACCAGTGGCATTGCGGTCAGTTCCAAGCCCTGGCCTTAAAACACCCGAGTCTCTATCATGGCCATGAAAGGAGCGTGCCCCAGCTAGCATCACAGCTCAAGGAGCATGAGAAACAGGTAGAATGCAGCTACATGACCAACTTGCAGACCTATAGCGTAGAGCAACACTAGTCATCAAGCTTAGTGTATATAAGCAAAGGTCAGCGGTGCCAGTCAAGCTACCAAGGCTTATTGTGATGATGTGTTACACAAGCTATACCTGACACCCTTGTGACCTGGTGTTAGAAATAAAATAAAGAAGAATCTGGAGAAAGAGGAGGTTTGTCTTGATTATAAGCTTCATTCGTTGTTTTATAATGGGATTGTGAACCCAGGGGGCGGGAGACAGCTACTAAGAAGGGTTCCTGGTGGCTAAATGAGCTCAATTTTTTTAAACAGAGCCCTGCGGCCATTTCTAAGCATGGCTTCTCATACAAGCCATGTTTCAGGGAGAAACCTGAACTGAACTACCCGCCTCTGCATGAAACTGCCCTCTGAGCCAGCCCTTATAAAGGCTTTCCTGTCCTAGTTTAACCAATAGCACTGAGACCTTCACCATCCAGTTGGAGCTGGGGCCAGTCACAGCAGCTCTATTTTGACCAATCAGGACAGTGCCTTTTGGGCCAAACTGTGAGAATGTGGAGTCCTCAGGGATGCACCAATCAGGAACCAGGGGCGGGGACTCCTGTCTATATAAGCCAGTTCCCGTACTGCTTGGGAAGCGCCCTTGCCCTTTCCACCAAGGATGAGCATGACCTCTCCAGGGCTTGGAGCAGAGCAGAGGTGTCTAGCCAGAAAGAGGCCTGGCCCCAGGGCTGCCTCACAGCCCTGCTATTTCACAAGCGACCTGTTCCACAGCCGTGCTGTGTCATAATTGAGCTGTTTTGCGCTGAATACAGTTTCCTTCTTCACCGCATCCCAAACTGGGGATTCTTGTTGGCATTGATTTGGTGCCAATGACCGGTTGACAGGTTTATGCCATAATTCCAGCCAATGAAATGTGGTGAGGATGAGGAAAAGTCTTGCTGCAGCTTCCTGGGTTACACCAGAGCTGTCCTTCCTAAGGGAAGCCATGTTGGATCTTCTGTTTTACGGCTGAAGACGTCCTAATGGATTCAATATGCCTGGTTAGCAACCAGTTAGGCTACTGAGCTATTCATAGCCAACAGTGACAGGCATTGTCTTGAACGCTTTGCAGGCATCAACTTCCCGAACACCCACCCACTTTCTCATCTTCTTATTCCTTTGCGACTTCAGATGTCCAATGAGTCTCATGAAGAAGGTACCAAGATGATCTCATCGAGGCTGTTACCAAAACCCTTTGAACTCTTCATACCATAACTGGTCTTATTTACTGAAAAGAGTAAAACATTCAAAGGAAAGACTATAAGGTATGAACTGTATACCTGCCAACATCCTAACGCAGATGGAATATAAAATATTTCTTGGGTGAGGTTTGCCCATAAGCAGATTCGGGGGCAAGGACTGAAGTGGCAAGAGTTTGTTCTGGAGGAGCGGAGAGCCCTAGCAGGGCAGAGAGGTAGTGAGTCTGGGGCGGGAAGGCAAACAACAGCTGGTGTGAATCAAGGTATCGTTGGGGCGACTGCAGCTTCATGCTGCCGAGCACCTCCCAAAGCCAGCCTAGAACATGTGCCTCCACGTGGTCTTGCATGAAAGGCCAGGGAGCTGGGGTATTTAGACACCATCTCCATTCGGTCATGGCCTGAAGGCTTCCGCCAGAGTGCTGATTCTAGGACTTCTGTCTGCTGCGCTGAGGGCAGGGAAGAATCCCACAGATGCTGACTACTCACGTGCTCCTGGCAGTGTCCAGCCTGGGAGGAGGTGGGCGGGGCATCACCTTGGCGGCTACCTCATGCCTAGCAATTGAATTGAATTGAAAAGTATGGTTGTGCCCATGCCACGTCTTCCTAAATAGTCAGATCCAGATCACTCCCTCCCCCAAATACACCATCATTCCAAAAAAAAAATCGTAATAAAACATGAACCTCAATGGTGGGGGCCATCCTGCTTTCTTAGCCTGAGTTGTCAAGTGTCAGAGGAGCATCTTGCATAACGTTTATCTGTCACTTTCCAGCTTTACTTTCAGCATTTTGAGGCTGTTTCTGCTCATTGCTTTTTTTCAGAGCCGACTTCCCTTCTGTAGGCTTGAAGGAGATGACGAACATTCTAACAGGACACGTCCAGAGGAGGTCAAACACTCCTCAGCCAACCCGTCTATTATTTGGGGTCGGTGGCAGGGTGGGGGAGAAAGTGGCATGAGGTAGCGTGAGGAACAGAGAAACAAGCTGCAAATGATGCGTTGCCAGGTTGGGTACAAATTGCCATGCAGAAGCAGGTGTTTTTCATAATCATGCTGGCGTGGCTGACTGAAGAGAACTACTCTTTTGTGTGCCCTCCTCCCTTCTACAAAGGAAAAACAATCTTCGATCGGAATCTCTTACAATCATCCACGCCTAGCACAGGACTATGTTTTGTTCTCCAAATCTATTTCCACTTAGTCCCTCCCTGCAACCCCTGTGTATCCCATCCCTCTATTGATGGGATATTTTGGTGCTTTCTGAATACACACACACAATGCACATATAAAACATTGGACACTTCAAATGTGCCCGGCACTGAGATCCAAAACTTCTATTGAAATATCAGCACCAGAGGCAAAGCCCTGTCAGGGGAAAGAGCTGGATGGCAGACTATCTAGGCCAGAGATTTGAATTTCAGTATAAATTACTGGGGGAGGGGGAGAGACTTGTTAAAATGGAGATTCGGATTGTGTAGCTTTGGAATGAGGCCGAGCCTTGATTACTACGAAAACTCCAAGTGTTGCTTGTCTGAGAGCCTCTTAGGATGGTGAGGCCTAGAGACCAGCTGGACCAGCAGTTCTCAAGTTCGGCTGCCCAGAGGAATCATCTGGGGAGCTGTGCAACTACTGATGCCTGGACCTCACCTCAAGAGATTCTAATGTGTGGACTATGGCTTGGCCATGGGGACATTTTGAACTTCCTCAGGTAGTTTCCATGGAGAGTGAAGACTAAGAGTCATTGATCTGGGCAAACTCCGACCTCTTACAGATGGAAAACTTCAGGTGCAGCGTGCGAAGTGCCTTGCCCAAGGTCACACACAGGCTGAGTACACCTCTGTGTGTTTCCATCATGTAGTCCCCCACCTCAGACTTCATAACATCTTCCCGATCATTCCTACGGAGGGAGATTGTGGCACCTTTTTGTCATCTTCCAGGTTTATTGTAGCCCAGCAACATGCTCTAGAAATTGATGTGTTTTTTTTCCCCAGTCAGTTTCTTTCCATTCCTTCTTGTTCCATGAAAGGAGGCAATAAAGTGTGAGATTCTCAATGCAGACATTGCTACATCCTGCATGGGAAGGTGTATCTTGAGATATAAACTGTTTTTCCTTACTCTGTGCCTGTCAAGGACCCTGTTCTGGAGGCTCTATGGTAGAAGCACAATCCCAACCATGTCCAGTCTTCATTCTCTTCCTCACACCATCTTCCTCTCCCCTTACTTTGTCCTCTACCTCCATTTCTTGCTCAAACATTTAACTAGAACCTACATAGTGCCAAGCCCCGTGCTAGGCAGTGGGGACCCCTTGGTGGAAATGTGTCCACCAGATTCTATTTTCTTGTTCTCTCTCTGGTGACCTGGGCTGGACAATTAACACATATTTATTTTTGTAGAAAGTCTGATCTTCTTTAATAGAGGTGTCATTGTGAACTGGCCTGCTCAGTTCCTGCTTTGACTTCCCCACCTCATGGGGAGAATTGCTAAAATGAAATTAAAAGAGAAAAAAAAATGACACCTTGATTCATTTCCCCTCAAAGATTTTGCCGGCTTTTGGAGCTCCCCACTTTCTCCTTCAGGAAGAAAAAGAGATTGCTATTCGTGGATGATGACTACAGGCTGGACATTTTATAGAGGGTAGTTATTTACTCTTGGCAACACTTAATAAGGCAGACAGTATTACACAATTTTACAAGTGACGAATTTGAGGCTTACAGTAGGTAACTGTCTCGGAGGTCATCTATCAATGTAATAAAAAGAGCATGCATTTTGAAGTCAGACCTCACCGGAGATTAATTTTGCCACCAAATTTCATTCTTCGTAGCAGATGCATAACCTGATGGAGGTGGAGGGAGTCCATTCACCACCCGAAACAG